TACCTGCCTTCCTTTTGCTCTTCTCTCCCCTAGGATGGGCCTGGTTTCTATACCACCAGGTGTCTGGGGCCAATGCTGTCTGAAGTGGTCCGAGTTCTCCAGGTGTGTATTCGGTCAGCTACTGAGCGTCCAACAAAGCCTTTGTCCAGCCCCTGCACTCAATTCCTGCTTGGGTACATGTCCGGTCAGCCACATCTCTTACCCAAAGCTGTCGGGAAGCTTAGTTGGACAGTTGTTGCGATATGGTATCTAGATTTGAAAACATCCAGAGTACATGTGAGGCAGTGGGCAAACTGCAGTTGCAAGGGTGCCCCTTTGTCTGTGCTGTGTGACATGTGAAAAGGACACTGCCTGTCTGCAAGGCAGCTCTCCCTAAGCTGCAAGCTGCCTGCCCTGGCAAAACAGCCTAGAGCTGCAAAGCAGAGAGCAGTGTTTTAGTCACAGGAGTCAAAATGGCAACTAGGAGCAAGGCAAGGAGTGAGCATGCAGGTTTCTCTTGGCTCTGCTGTTGGCCCTTTGGGCAGGCTTGAGAGCGTCTTCCTGGGCATGATGAGTCAGGCTGTCCTCATCAGGGCATGGCCTGCAATGGCAGGGTGGACCATGAGCAGATCCCAGCCTGCCATGTCCTACCTTTGCCCCGTTTGGTCTTTGAGGTGAACAGGTTTTTGTCCTGTTCAAGGCAAAGCGCCTTGCAGAAGAGAGCCTTGTCCTGCCCCAGACCTGATGTCAGCTGTAAGAAATGTGTATCACACTTTGTCAACACGCGGCAGTGGGATGCCAGCCCCAGCTTCCCCCGATGTCCCTAGCTTGCTCTTGTCTGAGCTGTGGTGTGACGGGACCCAGCGTAGGCAGTGATGAGGCTCTTTCCTCCCTGCACAGCAGCAGGGGACAGTCAGGAGTGGTGCAAACATGGTTATGCTGCTCCTATCTGTTCTCCAATAGCTAATGGGGCTGGTTGCATCAGTGATCCCGGATGGGGGAGGGCCCTCATCCAGAGAGATCTCATTGCTTTTCCTCCTATTCCTGCAGGAGGGTTTTGACCCGAAGAAAATAGACAGCCTCTCCACAGCCTTCGGCTTCCCGGTCGGTGCTGTCACGCTGATCGATGAGGTGGGTGTGGATGTAGCCACGCACGTGGCTGAGGACCTCGGCAAGGCCTTTGGTGAGCGCTTTGGAGGAGGCAACATCGAGTTGTTCAAGCTCATGGTGGAGAAGGGCTTCTTAGGTGAGACATGAGGCTGATATAAATCAACATATTTCCCCTTTGTTCAAGGAAGAGTACTAGCATCCATCAGATTCCTCTGCCTCAGGCGAGAGAGCAGTCAGAGAAGGTCCTGGGAATGGGGCAGGAGTCCCTCTCAGCTGTACCCTGGGTAAACCGTAGGCTGCGCTCAGAGCTTCCTTTGCAGAAATGGCTGCAGCAGGCAAAGATGTTGCCCAGAGCAGAGGCAGCAGACGAGATCACGTGAAACTCCATCTGGCCCCTTCGTTAAACCTGCGCGAACACTCTGGGCTGTGGGGAGGAAGCGATTGGAAATAAAGGTGCTCAAGTGAAACAAGCCGCAAGCTGAGGTTTGGAAGCTGTGTGCAAGGAAAGCTCATGGCTCCTCCGTCTGGCAGCTGTTCCCCAGTGGTACTAGGTGCTGAGGCAATTGTGCTACTGAGCGCACCAGGCTAGAGCAGTGCGTGTCAGTGGGACCCGCACTTGAACCGTGACTGCTTTTGCTCTCAAAACAGGCATTGCCTCTGACCGAACCTGGCAGTGAGTGTTACTTGGGAGATCTGCTTGGGAGATCTTATCATCTCTGTCCTTCCCTCCCAAGCATGTACAAGGACTATGCCTTTTTGCTGCTGTAGCCATGGAAGCAGTGACTTTGTTTGACTGTTTTGTGCACCTAGCAAAGGCATTCGGGCCTGGCGCAGCGGCAGCATCTTGCCAAGGAGTCAGATGAACAGTCTCCTTCCCTCTGTATCCTTGGTGAGGCAGCAAACAGGTTTACTTTGAAGTGCAGAGAAGCTGCCTGTGCTGGGAGGGTCTGCTTGTGCTAACAGAAGCACAAGAGAAGCTCAGAGGCAAAGGTGTCCCAAGCAAGCAAGACATGATGTGACTGTCTCTTTTTTTCCCCTGGCAGGCCGCAAGGCAGGAAAGGGCTTTTACATTTACCAGGAGGGAGTGAAGAACAGGAACGTGAATTCTGGCATGGATGAGATCTTGACACGGTTCAAAGTGCCAGCCAACCCTGAAGTGTAAGTAACTGTGCAAGCCAAGCAGCTGTGCGGGCTGGCTCTTCCCCTCTGCCAAGTGCTCCTTCTCTTGGCTCTGAGCAGCAGGAGGAGGGCCGCATCAGGCAGGACTGGAGGACAGAGTTGAACATGAAGTCAACTATAGATGGCATTTGGCTGGTCCTGGCTGGCATATATGGGGGTAGGCTGTTAGCTGTGGAGAGCCTGGGCTAGCAGGGACATGGGCATGCTTGAATTTATCAGCATTCGCTTGAGCACCTCTGCAGGTGGAGCAGGTGGGTTGGTGCATCCCCTGCCTTTCTCTCCAGGAACCCTGACCTTCCTGGTGTCAGACCTACTAGACAGCCTGGCACTGAAGTGTCTTTTGCAGTGGTTCCCATTCTGCTTGGTCAAGTCCTTGCCACTTTACTTGTCTGCCTTGGGTTGCCACACAGAACTTTGCCCTTAGAGTTAGGGATCCTGCCAGTGAAAAACAATTCTTTCCCCCGACACCAAGCCTGGCACTGAACCCCTTCTCTGCTAGCTTCACGTGCTCCTCTCTCCAACTGCTCTGTTACTTTCAGAGCCTTAAAGACTCTTTCCTTCCAGCTGCACTGAGGAGGACATCCAGATGCGGTTGGTGACGAGGTTCGTGAATGAGGCAGCCATGTGTCTCCAGGAAGGGATCCTCAGCAACCCCGTGGAGGGAGATATCGGTGCTGTGTTTGGCCTGGGCTTCCCGCCATGCCTGGGAGGTAAGTGGGTTCAGCTGTGAGACTGCAGAATTCGTCTCAAAAGCAGTGTCGTGGGCCTGCCTAGTGGGCTTTAGCCACCAGAGACGAGCAGCCTTTAAGGCCAGGTTTGAGCTGCAAATCCTGTCCAGCCTGAGTGTCCTATAAAGCCTGAGCCAGCGATGTCGTTCCAGCATTGTCAGCCCCACAAGAGGGGGTGGTGGGGCCAAGAGCTGCTTAAAGGTGTGTGATACGTTTCTGCTAGGACCCTGCAGAGTTCCTCTCTGCTGGGACACCTGTATTACAGGGCTTTCCAGGCTTATGAGGAATCAAACTGGACCATTTTCTGTGTCTTCAGATATGATTAAGAAGGCAGAGCCTTGCTGGCCCCAGCCTTGTCAGCCCTTTCCATAACCCCAAAGGAAGACTTCTTAGCAAGGTTGCTAGTCATGGGGTATGTGGGAGATCTGTAAAGGACCTACATTTTTCAAGAGTTCCCTAGCTTGCTCTTGTGCGGTCTTGCACGTCTCAGCCAGTGGAAAGTGAGGCTGAACTTCGGCTCTGGTATCTCTTCTCTTGGCAGAGCTGCTCGCCTGGGTGGGCAGGCAGAGTTCTTGCAACACTTGTGGAAACCTGTTCTCCCACTGCATGCAGAGCTCAGGAATGATGCTCAAGTACCCACTGTTCCCCTCCTCACGCCCACAAATGGCGCGGATAAAGCTGAGCTGATAAGCACCATGCAGCATGACCGTGATTTTCAGGCCAAGGCTCACTTGCTCAAGCCAGCCAAGAGCATGGGCAGGGCTCTCTTGGACCCATCTGCAACCTGGCTGGGTGGACACAGCCAGAGCCTGGGCAGCGGATGAGGCACAAGCTGAGGTTTGGGTTACAGTTGAAGGGTACTAGGAGATCTTGGTCCTAAGCTGGTGCTGCTACTGGGAGTACCCACCACTTTACCTTCTTTGGACGAGCCCATACTCGGAGACAAATCCCAGCTGATCTGTACCCCAGTTTGTCTCCTTCCTTGTGTTCACAAGGCTTGCGTTACCTCCAGCACGTCCTCTGGCCTCAGGGGAGCCTTGCAGCTTTGCTGCCAACGTTAGCATGGATGTTTCGGACCAAACAAAAGCACTTGCAGTGGCTGACACGAGAAGTAAAGGTGGTAGCCACATATCTGTTTCCCGCTGAGCTGGGGTCACACTTGGGAAAGACAGGATGCTGGCTGCAGCATATCGGCAGCTGGGCTCTGACTGGGACGAGGCTCATATACACACTGGGACTATCCCAAAGGTGCCACCACAGTGGTTCAGTCTGCCTCTGCTCAGTGCAGATCAGCAGGCAGAGAGCAGGGATCCTGTACCGTTTGCCCATGTGGCCTTTTGTCCAGAGGTTTGGGTCCCTTCTGGGTAAGGATGGATCAGCTGAATCCAGTGCTTTCACCCTTCCAGGCACGTTGGTGCTTCTCGCTGCCTTGGTGCAAATGTATCCTGCTTTTGTCCCCCTGTGCTTGGTAGGTCCCTTCAGGTACGCAGACTCGTATGGAGCCAAGCAGCTGGTGGACAAGCTGCGGAAGTACGAGGCCGTCTATGGAAGCCAGTTCACGCCGTGCCAGCTGCTGCTGGACTATGCCAACAACCCAAGCAAGAAATTCCACCAGTGAGAGCGGCCCATTGCCTCCTGCCTGTGATGCACCGACAGCCGGAGCTGAGGGCACCGGCTCTCCAGCAACACCTGATTCTCTGTAGGTTCATCTGCAACGTACCTGGGGCAGGCAAGGAAGGAAGGAGGGAAGCAGCGGACTACCTTGTGGCTTGTAGTCATTTCAAGTGCCTTATCAGCTACTGTACGTTGGGCACTTCCGTCCTCTGCCAGCATGGACCTGGGGTCTCCATGTTGGAAGAGAAATTCTTCTGCATTCACCTCCATGTTGCACTCGCCAGAACTCGCAGCATGGCATGCAGTATCCGTGACACGGCTGGCTCTGAGGCCTTGCTTTCCATAAACCTCCAACAATAAATCCCCATCTCCTGGCTCTGGACTCCAATGCCTGCTTCTAATCCTGTCTCGCTGGGGCAGCAGCCTCTAGGCACTGAGGAATGGAACCACTCGGGGTGGAAATAAAGCGTTCAGGCAATCCTCTGGGGTCCTCTTGATGTGTTAGGGGCCGCCCACGCTGGCCAGCAGTGTGCTGAGCTGTGAGACCGACAAAGAGGCAGTCGGCGGTTGCCAGAGGGTGGGGAAAGGCAGGGGAGGGTAGCAGCGCAGAACAAAGACCTGTTCTGTCACCTCCGCCATCAATCAATGCTTGCGAGGAGCCTCCAGCTCTTTTGTCTGGCCCTGAGCACTGCCGCCAGGGTTATCCTGGCAGATGGACCCTCCTGTAATTGCAAATCAAGCAGCCAAAGGCCAGAAGGGTCCCCCTTGGGGAGAGCTCAATTTAAACTAAAAGGCTTTAAATCTCTGTGCACCTGTCACTAATTTCAGAGCTGGCCTGGCCTCCACTTCCTGGGCCGACTGTGGTGCTGGGGGGCCACAGCTCTGCCTTGTCTGGGCTCCAGCCTTTCTCCGTAGCCCGAGCAGGGCTGTCTTACCTCAGGCCAGGACCTGGGCACTGCTGCTCTTTTCAAGTGCTGTTTGCGCTCATTTCTCAAAGTTACCGCTATAAAAACAGGCTGACGCATAATCTCGTCCTGCCTCTGCTGTCCTCTGTAAAGCCGTGGGAGGCATCCGGCTGCTTGCAGAGCTGGAAAACAACATTCAGCCCTATCCCCAGAGGAGAAGCAGCATCCCCGGGAGCCTTGTCCCTGCCCGGGTGCCCCTTCCCTGGGAACAGTGCTGCCGTGGGGCCGAGCCTTCGGGGCTCAGGCCCTCCTCGGGGGGGCTGCCCTGAGGTCCTTCCTCTCCTGCCTGGCCCCACCGGCTTTGGTGATCCCCCCCATG